GCCTCATAAAAACCTTTTTTTCCCTATCTTAGACTTTTAGATTCCTGATAACCTGTTTTACAACCATGGGCAGTTGTTAGCAAAATAGCCTTAAATTTTCATATTTAAGGAAGCAACTCAGGTGAAAGTCAAATAGGAAGATTTACGTTATACATTGTGGAGAGAAAAAGTTTGGATTATAGAAATTATAAAGGTCTTTCAAATATATACACATACACACACATGCACACACACACAAAGATCTTATAGCTTTTACTTCAGAACTACTAGCCATGAGATAAATACAAATTTACTGGCTTACAAAAAGAACTTGTTGGATTGAAACAGTGGTTTTTATCTTAATAGAAAAATAACAGCAAAGTTAGAGCAGGCAGAAAAGAAAAAATAGAGAAGATGATGACTTGGGTACTCTATAGTTTAAAAAAAAATAGAGAAAAAGAGGACTTCAGAACTCTATAGTTTGCAAGTTGGCCTTAGGGCTCTTTTTCCTTAATCTAAATGTGCACAAATACCATATTATTCTCATTTTACATAAACTTTGGCAGGTAGAGGTGCCATAAAACCTACCGAGTACCCAAAGGGAGGTCATTCTCTTTGTTTTCTTCTATTTTTCCTCACTTCTTTTTTTCCTAAAAGGAGGAACAGCTTGTGGTCTGGGGTTTTTATATGGTAGATCAATATGTGCTGCTTGTAGGCAGTACTCCACAGTGTGTCACCACTGAGTTGCTTCCACCCTTTTACATGTCTCAGTTTCTCTCTCCCAAGGTTTATGACTTCAGAGAGGGCTCAAAACACTGGGTGATCAGCCATTAGATGTATTTCCTGGACAAACCATTGTTAAAATTAAGTTTTGATGGGGATTTTCCTGCAGGGCAGCTGCAAAGCATGTCAAAGGGGGTAAACCCCCCAGACACTCCTATGAGGCCCCCAGTTACCTAGGGGCACCTTTCAGCTGGGAGGAGGAAAAATACCCTGTTTCATTTGAGCTGAGAAAACTCAGTCTCTGGTTAACATTTGAAAACAACAATTTAGTTCTTCACAAAATTACACACAGACAACCCAAACTAAAATTAAATTTGGGAGGAAAAGCAATAGAGAAGACCCTTTAGAATGCATATCCAAACTAGAATCAGGGTCCTTAAACACAACTTCACATGGGAACAAACGGTGACCAGAAAACCCAACAGTATGATCAGTGAGCACTGACAGGAGATTTGTCAAAGATCAGGGGCATCTCCATTCAGAATCGCCCTCTAGATACCAAAATGTGAACCCAGAAAATCTGAGACAGGTCTCAGTTAATTTAGAAACTTTATTTTGCCAATGTTGAGGACACTCCCATGACATAGCCCCAGGAAGTTCTGACAACATGTGCCCAAGGTGGTTGGGGCACAGCTTAATTTTATACATTTTAGGGAGACATGAGACATCAATCAATATATGTAAGAACTACATTGGTTCCATCCAGAAAGGTGGGGACAATGCAAAGCAAGCCCCACCCCACGCCCATCAGGGGCTTCTAGGTCACAGGTTGATGAGAGACAAATGTTTGCATTCTTTTGAGTTTCTGATAAGTCTTTCCAAATAAGGCAATTGGAATATGCATCTATCTCTGAGCACAGGGATGACTTTGAATATAATGGGAGGCATATTTGCCATGAGCAGTTCCCAGCTTGAAGGGGCCCACAAAATTTTTTTTCAAACAACCACAGTGCAAAACCATTATATTTATGGTTACTTATGTCAAATTAATAGATGAGCATTGTTTTTGCCAAGTATAGCTAGAGCCAGGGTCTTTGGTCTTTAGTACTGTACACAGAGAAATTCAATGCTAACTATAGGTTTAAAAAAACTTCTCATTTACTGTATTACAACCTGGTACTGTTTACCTTAATTTCTCTGCATGCAAAGAGCAATCCTATCTTCCATGCCAACTACTTAGACTGTGACATTTATGTAGAGAAGAAGAGAAACAAATCACTTCCCAAGTTTAAAGGAACTGAAGGTGTTTAGGAAAACAAATAGAGGTGAATGTCTTTATTGGTTTCTCATTCTTGTGTTGATAATTTTGTTCTGCTTTTATAAGTAGAAAGATCTACCTGCATTATTGTATAATATAGGAGATACAAGTGACAAGGTAACTGAGGAAAAGCAGGTTGCCATCCACATCAGGTGGTTACGCTTATTTGTATGTGACATTTACTTCATCTCTTAGTAATTTGGCATATCCTGTCATCCTTGGGCGTATTACAAGATGGTTGTGTTATGTAAAGGCTTCTTTTGGCAGGCAGGAATACAATGAAAGGATTGAAAAACAAGTTCATTCAAATGGCTTCTCTGTGTATATACCATTGTTTCTGTATGGCTCCTATACGTCTGTGACCCACGTCTCAGTGGAGTAATGAAAGCAACACTGCTCAGCCTGCATGGGTGTTGGCAAGAATATTCTCTTCTGTTCTTACCTCTGGACGTGGAGAATAGCTTCATGAAATTCAGCCACCTTGTTCTCTAGACTCTCAGTTCCATCTTCTCAACTCGGGGGTCTTTCAAAATTTATACTGCACACCCTGGAAACTCTCCCAAAGCAAAGCCTGTGGCAACAGTAACCCTCACATCAGTGTTTTGCATCTCTCAGGTATCACTGTCCTTCATTGCTTCAAGTTCATTTTCTTGGAAGCAATTGTTTAATATTTCTTCATTTTTTTGTTTTTCCATGTGATAGCCTGTGATATATATACATAAATAAAGTCATATTTTGATTTTCATTCACATGTCCTGGCTTATGATGCCATAGCCCTTGTTACAGCATTGTGTTATAATGTTAGATGTGTTAGGGCTCAGAATCAGACATCAGGAAACAAAATCTCTGACCTTCTCATGCATTCCTTTCACCTTCTCCAAAGCAGGATTCTTGTCTTAGCTTGCCTTTCTGTTCATAAGTCATAAGACCCTCATTCCAGAGCGGTCCCACCTCTTACTCTAGGTAATAAATGCTGATGTCATGAAGCTTCCATAAAAATTCATGAGGACTGGATTCAGGGAGCTTCTGGAGAACCAAATACATGGAAGTTCCTGGAAGGTGGTGCAAACAGAAGGAGCAAAGAGCTCCATGCTTGCTGTCCCCTACCATTCCCTATGAATCTCTTCATCTGTATCTTTTGCTATATCCTTTATAGTAAATTGTTAAATATAAGTGTTTCCCTGAGTTTTGTGAGCTGCCCAAGAAAATTAAACCTACAGCATAGGTTATGGGAACCCCAACTTGAAGCCAGTGGGTCAAAAGTTCTTGAGTTCCAGACTTGTGACTGGTGGCTGAAGGGATGGGACAGTCTTATAGACTGCCCTATCAACTTGTGGAATCATGTACTATATCCAGGTAGGTAGTGCTGGAATTGATTTGGAGGACACCTAGTTGGTATCAGCTGCAGAATTAGTTGCTCTCTTGGAAGTGGGTAGGAAGCCCCACACAAGTATTCACAGAAGACTTTTGTGTTGATGGTTGTTACTGTGGTGGTGTAAGAGCAAATAAAAAGGATGGTTTGAGTGTTTTATCCAAATATAATATCCAAGACATGCAGGGTTTTTTTGATAGCATCTTGTTTCACTTATCCTGCCATTGCTCAATCATTACTGTATTGGGTCCATATGGTTCTAGTTAACAATATTAACGTGAATAAGAAAAAAATTTAGTCTAACACAGAAAAAGACAAACACATGAATTTTCTTTTGGTATCACTAAATGGAAGATCACAATTGGCCAGTGCACAATGTCTGAAGAAGTCTTGTGGTGGGGAATCCATTATATGTCAATGAATCAAAGATTTAAGAAAGATCTTAAAGAAAGGGTAATATCTCTGTCAATTAACTATCGTACACATTATAAACTTATTGATACTTATAAAGCCTTTTGGGAATTTGAAAGCATAAGTTTTATTTACATAAAAATGAAAACAATATCAATATTCATAGACTGATTCATGTATATCTTGATATTATGTTTGATTTTTCTGAATTAGATTTTGACCCAGAGTCATAGATACATTATGACTGTTGCATGAAAACTTATGCAATAAAGCATTTAATAAAGGGCTGAACCATTGTGATCTTCACATTTCCTGTTGACACCCATTCTATTTTGATTCAGATGATCTTAGCAGAATGTGATAGCAGATTTCAAGATATGTTGCCTCTGTGTAGACAGTTAAAGCCATATTGTGCTTTCTCATAGTTTACAATGATTGTGATAAAACTTGAAAAAGAAACATTTTAAAATGTGTGAAATATAGTAAATAAATAAAAATTGGAAATTTTTATCAAAGGAGCCATATAAACAGGCCTGAAACATGCTGAGCAAGATTTTCTTTTTAGTTTAAGAGGATGAAACCATCTAAAATAGAATGACAAAAGTAGCACAGAGGAGGCAGAAGCAGCAGGGTCCATGAGATGATTTTTCAAAGATTTGAGAATGTGAGGCAGGAAAAGAGGCTGAGGGAAAAGTCAGAGTTCACAACCTGTCCTGAGAATAAAAGAGAGCAAAAAAAAAACCCATTCATTTTAAAGTTCAAATTCTCTTCAAATTGAGAGAGGAAAGGAATTTATTGGGAAGTAAGCAAGAAGTAGTAAGGCTGGTCACATGCTTATTCTGTAACTTTGGAAGTGATCCTGCTGGTTTTTTTGCTCTTTATTCCATTAATATACTATATTTTACTCGTTGTTTTAATGTGTTTTACCAAACTTTTGATGTTGAGATAAATGCCCTCAGTTCTAGTCTGTAGTCCTGTTTTATGTTGCTGACTTGTTTTCATATTATTTTATTGATGATTTTTCCCTCCATAATCATAAGCCACAGTAGTCTGTAATTCTCCTTTCCTAAAATGTGTTTTGTCTAGTTGTAGGTTCAGGGTAAACTGCCTGATGGAATAAACTGGGCAATGATCTCTTCTGTCATTTTTAGTATCTTGGACAAAACGTTTATGAAGGATTATTATTATTTCTTAAAGGCTTGAAATAACTTACCAATGAAGAAACCTTGAACTGGACATCCAATAACCAACAGAAGCTTGGACATGGGTCCTTCCCCAGATGACCCTGTAAGTGAGACCTTTGCCTCAGGCATCATCTACATTGGGTTCCTGATCCAGAGAGACTGTGAGTAATGCATGCATTGCTTTGGCTACAAAGCTATGAAGTAATTTGTTGTTTAGCAAGAAATAAGGAATAAACCTGGTGGTAAGTGTCATGTAGAATCCTGGATTAGGTCATGGAATAAATGACATTAGTGGAAACCTGGTAAAATCTGAACAAGCCTATACTTCAGGTATGAATTATCTTTGCCACTTTCAATACATCTAAAATAATTGAATATAATTTTAAAACATCATTATCTTGCTATTATAAAAACAACACAGACATTAAAAAAAAAAAGCCTTAACTTCAAAGGATGAATGAATGTGTGGGGAGAGAAAGGCAAAGCAGCTTCCCGTATAGTCCCCAACTTCAGCGCAGGAGCACCTGCTTCAGGAAGGCACCATCAAGCTCCAAGAACTCTCTTCTTCCTGTCACACTCTCCATTACCCAGTCACCAGATTCAGTGTCATAGCCATGCCTTTAAACTTATGCCCATTTCTGCTTCACCTGTTTCAGAAAGCCCCATCTGATACCATTTGGCAATGTTTCTGATAACCCCAACAAAGATTTTTTGGAGTATATGCCTTCTGAAAATTACCAGCCAAGATTGACAGATGTAAGTGCCAGGGAATATAAATCATATTTTTGGTTTTTGAGAGCTTATGAATGGTATAGAGCATACAGAGTTTCACTTTTCACATTTTGAAAAGACAAACGTTCCTTCAAGGTTTTGAAAATCTCACTGGTAATTAAGTCATACTCATTGCCCAGACACCATCATGAATTCTTTGGTACCTTATATTCTGTGGACAATTACCTTGAAATTATATTACCAATTATCAAGCCCCAAAGCCACAGAATAGTTACTTTCATGATACCAGGTTACTATGGTACAAAAAAAAAAGTTTATCAACATGTATATTTAGGCCAGCCCTTGCTTACACAGACCTAGAAATGGAATTTTAGTAAGCAGATTTTTAAAGGTGAACGCATATATTTGATTTGGAATGTGAAGAACAGAGCTAGAGAGTACCTGTTAAAAACAGCAAAGTAGCAACATGATATGGCTGGGCGCGGTGGCTCAAGCCTGTAATCCCAGCACTTTGAGAGGCCGAGGCGGGTGGATCACGAGGTCAAGAGATCGAGACCATCCTGGTCAACATGGTGAAACCCCGTCTCTACTAAAAATACAAAAAATTAGCTGGGCATGGGGGTGCATGCCTGTAATCCCAGCTACTCAGGAGGCTGAGGCAGGAGAATTGCCTGAACCCAGGAGGCGGAGGTTGCGGTGAGCCGAGATTGTGCCATTGCACTCCAGCCTGGGTAACAAGAGCGAAACTCCGTCTCAAAAAAAAAAAAAAAAAACATGATATAATATATCTATAACTCATCTTGCTAAGATAAGAAAATTGGACACAGGCTGAAAGATGACTCTCCATGTATGCTGGATAAACAAGGAATCCCACAACAGAGAGGACTGTCCACTTATGTGCCACCCAGCTCCCTGCACAAGACACAGCACTCTGCCAGTTAACAGCACGGTTGTTTATAGGAACCCAGCCTGTAAGCATACAGTAGATATCCACAAAGTCAAGACTCTTGCTTTTATGGTCCATAGTGGTGGGGTATATCCTCTGCTTTACATGTTTACATGCATGGTGTCAGTGCTTCAGTGAGAAAACTAGTTCCTGTAGCCTGGAGACCTGGAGTGAGAGATGCAGCTGACCTGGAACACATTTCTTATCTTTGAGATTAGGATAGTAGATAATTAGTTGCTGTTATTCTGGGCATTTGTAATTCAAGAGACCCTCTCATCCCTTGAAGATCACACTGTACTCCATGAAAAAGGGTGGTCTAATATAAATTTGTTACTTAAAAATAACAAATTATTCATGTCAATTCATTATAACAAGAGTGATTATATGCTAAGTTACTTATTAAACCTTTTTTCATTTCCTTTCCATGCATAAATTGTAGTTATCATGATGTACTCACAAATAGCATTCTTCACCCAAATATTCAGGGGAAATGAGGTAGAGTTTCAGGCCAGTTGGAGACAGAAGTGGATGTAGACAAGGAGGGTCTTATTTCTTAGTGCGAATTGAGGGTCAGTGAACTCTGAGTCCTCTGGTTGAGAGGTAGCAGGTGACAGACTCAAAATTGTATAACATGATGTCACAGGATACAAGTCACAGTGCCGAGCAATGCTTCCTCAAGCACACTCTCTGATAGCATGGGAGATATGATTTCCCAAAACCTGGTAAACTACCTAAACTACCTATGAGGAGATTTTAGACAGGTTGGTCTGGCCACCAGAATTCTCTGAAAGACTTATTGCAAACATTCCATAGTCTTAGACCACATCATGAGGCAAGAACTCACTCCCCTTTCTCCACACTGCATCTTGAAAACAGGATAGAGTTCAGCGGAGACATTGCTCATATGCTTTAGATCAGGACTTGTATCTATCTGCCTGTCTGCCTGCCTGCCTGCCTAGGCTACTACAGGGAAAGGGCAAAGCAAAGGCTTATTGTTACCTTAAGTTAGTGTCCCTGGAATCTGAAATTCTGGGTAGAAATCCTTTCAACATTTCAATTGTAAATTAGATAAGTTTCTTTATTCACTCTGTTCTTTGGGAAACACCAAAGCCATTATTTTTCTTCCAAGTACCTGAAAATATACTTGACCAAAGAAACAACTGAGCAGAGCAAAACATTGTATAAAACCTAAATGCATCTCCATCTGCAGTAACTAATCATAAAGCGATTTGTATGATAATTACCCAAATGATTAAAAAGAAGAATGATTAAGAAGGAAAGGCAATATAAAAATGTTCTGGATTGGCCAGGCACAGTGGCTCACACCTGTAATCCCAGCACTTTGGGAGGCCAAGGTGGCTGGATCACAAGGTCAAGAGATCAAGACCATCCTGGCCAACATGGTGAAAACCTGTCTCTATTAAAAATACAGATATTAGCTGGGCATGCTGGTGTGTGCCTCTATGTAGTCCCAGCTACTTGGGAAGCTGAGGCAGGAGAATTGCTTAAACCTGGTAGGTTGCAGTGAACTGAGATCACGCCACTAAACTCCAGCCTGGTGACAGAGTGAGAATCTGTCTCAAAAAAAAAAAAGAGGAAAAAAGTTCCAAATTGAAGAATTCCTTATGGAATTAAGTTTATAGGGACCATTAGGGCAGGGATTATCAAGATAACAGATTTCTGTGTCTTTAGAGAGCTACCACTCTGGTGCACACTTTCATGTAACTCTTGGCTGCATGCTTTTGACATCCCTCTCTGCCAGCGATTACAAAACAGCCCTGTCCAATGGGCCTTCAGGGATTTCTTCCCAGGATATTTACAAAGTTCTTTCCATGGCGTATTTCTCTATACTGGCAATGGCCTAATGCCTCAGTATTTGACTTGTAACCAGGTTTCCTACTCACATATTTTTTTATTATTCCTATCAAGAGAACCACTCTCTAAGATAACTCTGAATGGGAAAGTTAGGTTCAGGTATATTGGTCAGGAAAGACACAGAGAAGGCAACTCAACAAAATTCATGAAATAACAGAAGCAGTTCATTATTCACAGATCCCAGCAAGAAGAGAGCAGCATTCTTCAGCAAGTCACTGGGAAGTGTAGAGCTGTCCTGGACACACACACTCACATCCAGCAGGTGGGTGGAGCAAAGAGAGAGGCAGAATGAGCAACCAGTGAGCTGAAGCATTTATTAGTATATTAACCATGGTTTTCTAGAGAGAGAGAATGAATGCAATATAGATAGATGGATAGAGAAGAATATATAGAGAGAGAAAAGAGGACTTGTTAGGGGGTTGGCTCACATGATTACGGAAGTTAAGAAGTACCAGGATAGGTTGCTTGCAAGCCAGAGATACACGAACATGGGTAATGTGTGCTATATATGTGAAATGAATGGCAGGAAAGATGCAAGAAGCAGGAGGAAATAATTATCATTGTTTTGTTATTATAAGGTAGTCACATTACCTCAAACGTGATATACTGTTATTTGAAAGGAGACTTGGATTAGTTGTAAGTGTAAATTGCAAAGTCTAGGCCAGGCAGTTGGATGAAGGGCCTCAGTTCCTTGCTGACTGTTAGACTCAGACTTCACTCAGTTTCTACTCATGCTGGCATCTCCCTCATGCATAAGGCTTTATCAAAACCACCAAGCGAGAGAGTTTGCAGCAAGACAGAAATCACAGTTATATGCAGCATAATCCCTCAAATGACATCCCATCACCTTGTAATAGTCTATCAAAGCAATCGGAGTATCTGACTACTCACACAGAGAAAGGACTAGAATACGAGATGTGTACACAAAGATGGGAGGAACATTGCCCACCATCTTGGAATGTACCAGTCATATTAGGTCCTGTCCAATCTGCAACACTTTCCCAGGCTTCACTCATTTTGCATGACCTTGACCTTTGTGAAGAAAACATGGAACATATTTTGTATGATATATTACATTCTTTGTTTGTCTGGAAGTTCATTATAACTTGATGAGAAATATAGATATAAACATAGAATTATCTAAGTATGAAAGCCAGAAACACTGAATATTATTTGCAAATGCAAATTTATAGAAAAACACTAATAAGGAAAAATTTGGGAATAGCAAAAAGAAAATTGAAAATAATAATAAACTTTACCAGGGTAAAAAAGTGATTCAGACATGGGGCATCAACAGTGTTGACAATATTTGTCATATTAAGTTCAACAGTGAATTTTAAAAAGTAAACTTTTTTTTTAAGAATGGTTTTGGATTCACAGAATAGTTAGACGCACAAAGAGTTAATATATACCCAACACACAATGTCCCTCTGATCAAACCATTACATTGGTTGGGACATTATCACAATTAATGGACCAATATTACACATTATCATTCATCAACATCCATAATTAATCAAAGGTCCTCTTTTTCACTTAATGTCCATTTT